TTCAACCTGGGTTTTGTCTCCTGCCCTGGACGCGCGTCTAGTCACTATATCTTAATATCCGTCATATTCCGTTTTCGTCCGAATGACTCATCGACTAAAAGCTGGAGTCGACTCATTTTAATTCCCAATATAGCTCGTCTGTCTAACATGAAACTCGAAACGCGCCTTCCCGATTGAACATAAAGAAATGTCGAATAGGCTATTGGAATGTGAAATTTACTACAATAAAGGGTGTACGATAAACGTCAGAAAATGTTCTATGTTTGAACGCTTAAGCGTTAACAAGAGGGGATACCAAAACTTGTTTAATATGGAGGTACAGTGTATATGCCCTTAAGTTTATAGACACGTAGAGATGAAGTTGGAATATGTCTCAAAAATCAGATGAGAAAAGCTATACGAAGTGTCTACTAAATATATATCAACTATCAATGGCATACTGAATTTACATTATTTTAGCCTTTAGCTTTACAAATGTTTATAAATGCAAACTCAGACGATTAACCTTGTGCTATATCCAAACTTCTCAATTCTCATAACAAAATGAAAGAAAGTTGGATGAATACTTTCCTGGAAAATGAAAATGAGAATGGCAATGCCTACAACATTAATAATTTTCAGACAACTTTTCGAGCGGCCATTTTCGTAAATAATCAAGCATTAATATAAAATTTTATAAATTGACATGATGGCAACAAAAAAAGCGATCAGGATTAATAACGGTTCAAAATCAAAAGATATTTGGTCCATGACGTGTCTGAAAATTGTACTTACTAATTGATGTACACACGCCGAACTGAGTGAGGTTGAACCTTATGATTAGATAGGACTGATAACGAGAATGCAAGAGGAATGTTTAGCTTTATTAAGAAATAGATAAATGAAGTGGTAAAACTCTGTATTAATGATAGCAAAGGCCGTATAGACCACAAAGATTCTAAACTAATGGGATGGTGATGGAAAGGTGGATAAACGGGATAATGAGTTTACGAAACCTAAGGGAATTAAAAGGAAAAACAGGCGTGATAATCAAGGCTTTGAGAGCAGTCCTGATTGAGGCTATTGCATATTTTCATATTTTCAGGACAACTCATGTGAGTATACCTTCGAAGATGACCAAAACGGTGGCCGAGATCAAAGAATTATTAGTTTTATATATCATCAATATGTTACACTAAATCCGCTCAAAGTGGCATTATTGGTAGGCATTGGAACAGAAATAGACCGAGGTGTAAGTGGATAAATTGGGGATTGAGGAATGGGGATATGGCTAGAAAGAGAGAGATATGCCCCAATTAAATAAAACATTGGCCAAGAGGATAGTATTCACCTATAAATTTGACTAGTTTCAATTATGGGCTAGGTATAGCGCCCTTCATTGACGATGCCAGTAAATAATCTGGGAATGTACCAAACCAACGATACGGCTATGGAAACTACCATGAATACACTGTCAGAGGACTTAGGACTTGATATGTTCTACAGGGCTACCCTGACCAAGCCTTAGGTCATACCAGCTTGACAATCAAATCTAAGAATGTCTCTTGTAGTCAAATGGACCAAAGGATTGCGCATCATTTTTCCGCATATATGCCAATGGCATAGCTTGAGTTATATTTGCAAGTAACCTTACCTTTTTTAGATATGAACCCTAAAGACCAATTTGAACAGTTTGTCGCAGCATTTAATCTTCGCTGCGTAGTTTGAAATTGTAGCCTCGTATTCTTCCAGGACTGGATCTATTCAGGTGCAATCGGCACAGGAACATTTTTAAAAGTTTCACCGATGTCTTTAGTGAGGAGAGCAATGAAAAACACTGTACACCACCCTGAAGAAAAGGCCAATCACATTTGAGCTACATAAGCTCCCATCCATCTTCTACGCTTAATTCCATCAAGTGTTTTTAACCTCTTTAATTGTGTTTGCTAAATACATGAATGTGGATATGATGCTAATATATGCGTTAGTAATATCGGCTGAATAATGCCTGAAACAATGTATTATGGCCTATCCTTATATCTTTCCTGTAGTCATGGCGCTTGTCTCCACATTTGTCTATCAGGCCTGCACAGTTAAATGATTATATAACCTAATTCTGGATACTCGTTTCGTCATCTGAATCCGTCGAATATGAATTGTTGATCGTCTAATTAGCAAGCCTCCATGTCAGCCCGGCAATCCAATCCAAATTGAATGCGTCCGCTTCAACAAAGCTCAAGTGATTTACCGCCTGGGCAGAGCCAGGGCTTAAAGTGGAATGGGTCTTAATTACACGAATCACAACATCTGGCATAGAGCGTAGCGTCGGCCTTAAAAGCTGTACTCCTCTCACGTGTTGTTAACTGACTCTTTTACTATCTCGTCCACTCAGTCTTATATCAATCTGCCAAAGTAATTCATATCAGTCTCTTCATGCATAAAGCAGTGGACCCGCTTCACCCGATTCAGCATGCATTCATCAGGCCCCGGAAATGATAATAAGCATACTTCCACCCCTCTTCATCTGGCACTTAATAGTAAAGCATCTGAACTCGCTAAACGCCTAGTTATCTCGTCTGAAACGGCAGACTTGATGGAAAAAATTTCTACTAATTACTCTTGCCATTACAAATATGACTAATAATTAAAATAATTTGTATTCATTTTCTCTTACGCGCCATGAGTTCCCCAATATGATGATTGAAATGATATGTTA